TTCCCCAATAACGGTATGTGTGAGGGGAGGGGTGATGGTGGCCCAGTAACGGGCCAATAAAGGGTGATGCTTCCCCAATGATGCTATGCCGCGATTTGAGTGGACTCCGGTGTGACTGTGCGCTCGAGTGCGAGCGCTTCTTTCTGCCCCACGACGAGTACTGCTTCCCCAATAACGGTATGTGTGAGGGGAGGGGTGATGGTGGCCCAGTAACGGGCCAATAAAGGGTGATGCTTCCCCAATGATGGTATGCCGCGATTTGAGTGGACTCCGGTGTGACTGTGCGCTCGAGTGCGAGCGCTTCTTTCTGCCCCACGACGAGTACTGCTTCCCCAATAACGGTATGTGTGAGGGGAGGGGTGATGGTGGCCCAGTAACGGGCCAATAAAGGGTGATGCTTCCCCAATGATGGTATGCCGCGATTTGAGTGGACTCCGGTGTGACTGTGCGCTCGAGTGCGAGCGCTTCTTTCTGCCCCACGACGAGTACTGCTTCCCCAATAACGGTATGTGTGAGGGGAGGGGTGATGGTGGCCCAGTAACGGGCCAATAAAGGGTGATGCTTCCCCAATGATGGTATGCCGCGATTTGAGTGGACTCCGGTGTGACTGTGCGCTCGAGTGCGAGCGCTTCTTTCTGCCCCACGACGAGTACTGCTTCCCCAATAACGGTATGTGTGAGGGGAGGGGTGATGGTGGCCCAGTAACGGGCCAATAAAGGGTGATGCTTCCCCAATGATGGTATGCCGCGATTTGAGTGGACTCCGGTGTGACTGTGCGCTCGAGTGCGAGCGCTTCTTTCTGCCCCACGACGAGTACTGCTTCCCCAATAACGGTATGTGTGAGGGGAGGGGTGATGGTGGCCCAGTAACGGGCCAATAAAGGGTGATGCTTCCCCAATGATGGTATGCCGCGATTTGAGTGGACTCCGGTGTGACTGTGCGCTCGAGTGCGAGCGCTTCTTTCTGCCCCACGACGAGTACTGCTTCCCCAATAACGGTATGTGTGAGGGGAGGGGTGATGGTGGCCCAGTAACGGGCCAATAAAGGGTGATGCTTCCCCAATGATGGTATGCCGCGATTTGAGTGGACTCCGGTGTGACTGTGCGCTCGAGTGCGAGCGCTTCTTTCTGCCCCACGACGAGTACTGCTTCCCCAATAACGGTATGTGTGAGGGGAGGGGTGATGGTGGCCCAGTAACGGGCCAATAAAGGGTGATGCTTCCCCAATGATGGTATGCCGCGATTTGAGTGGACTCCGGTGTGACTGTGCGCTCGAGTGCGAGCGCTTCTTTCTGCCCCACGACGAGTACTGCTTCCCCAATAACGGTATGTGTGAGGGGAGGGGTGATGGTGGCCCAGTAACGGGCCAATAAAGGGTGATGCTTCCCCAATGATGGTATGCCGCGATTTGAGTGGACTCCGGTGTGACTGTGCGCTCGAGTGCGAGCGCTTCTTTCTGCCCCACGACGAGTACTGCTTCCCCAATAACGGTATGTGTGAGGGGAGGGGTGATGGTGGCCCAGTAACGGGCCAATAAAGGGTGATGCTTCCCCAATGATGGTATGCCGCGATTTGAGTGGACTCCGGTGTGACTGTGCGCTCGAGTGCGAGCGCTTCTTTCTGCCCCACGACGAGTACTGCTTCCCCAATAACGGTATGTGTGAGGGGAGGGGTGATGGTGGCCCAGTAACGGGCCAATAAAGGGTGATGCTTCCCCAATGATGGTATGCCGCGATTTGAGTGGACTCCGGTGTGACTGTGCGCTCGAGTGCGAGCGCTTCTTTCTGCCCCACGACGAGTACTGCTTCCCCAATAACGGTATGTGTGAGGGGAGGGGTGATGGTGGCCCAGTAACGGGCCAATAAAGGGTGATGCTTCCCCAATGATGGTATGCCGCGATTTGAGTGGACTCCGGTGTGACTGTGCGCTCGAGTGCGAGCGCTTCTTTCTGCCCCACGACGAGTACTGCTTCCCCAATAACGGTATGTGTGAGGGGAGGGGTGATGGTGGCCCAGTAACGGGCCAATAAAGGGTGATGCTTCCCCAATGATGGTATGCCGCGATTTGAGTGGACTCCGGTGTGACTGTGCGCTCGAGTGCGAGCGCTTCTTTCTGCCCCACGACGAGTACTGCTTCCCCAATAACGGTATGTGTGAGGGGAGGGGTGATGGTGGCCCAGTAACGGGCCAATAAAGGGTGATGCTTCCCCAATGATGGTATGCCGCGATTTGAGTGGACTCCGGTGTGACTGTGCGCTCGAGTGCGAGCGCTTCTTTCTGCCCCACGACGAGTACTGCTTCCCCAATAACGGTATGTGTGAGGGGAGGGGTGATGGTGGCCCAGTAACGGGCCAATAAAGGGTGATGCTTCCCCAATGATGCTATGCCGCGATTTGAGTGGACTCCGGTGTGACTGTGCGCTCGAGTGCGAGCGCTTCTTTCTGCCCCACGACGAGTACTGCTTCCCCAATAACGGTATGTGTGAGGGGAGGGGTGATGGTGGCCCAGTAACGGGCCAATAAAGGGTGATGCTTCCCCAATGATGGTATGCCGCGATTTGAGTGGACTCCGGTGTGACTGTGCGCTCGAGTGCGAGCGCTTCTTTCTGCCCCACGACGAGTACTGCTTCCCCAATAACGGTATGTGTGAGGGGAGGGGTGATGGTGGCCCAGTAACGGGCCAATAAAGGGTGATGCTTCCCCAATGATGGTATGCCGCGATTTGAGTGGACTCCGGTGTGACTGTGCGCTCGAGTGCGAGCGCTTCTTTCTGCCCCACGACGAGTACTGCTTCCCCAATAACGGTATGTGTGAGGGGAGGGGTGATGGTGGCCCAGTAACGGGCCAATAAAGGGTGATGCTTCCCCAATGATGGTATGCCGCGATTTGAGTGGACTCCGGTGTGACTGTGCGCTCGAGTGCGAGCGCTTCTTTCTGCCCCACGACGAGTACTGCTTCCCCAATAACGGTATGTGTGAGGGGAGGGGTGATGGTGGCCCAGTAACGGGCCAATAAAGGGTGATGCTTCCCCAATGATGGTATGCCGCGATTTGAGTGGACTCCGGTGTGACTGTGCGCTCGAGTGCGAGCGCTTCTTTCTGCCCCACGACGAGTACTGCTTCCCCAATAACGGTATGTGTGAGGGGAGGGGTGATGGTGGCCCAGTAACGGGCCAATAAAGGGTGATGCTTCCCCAATGATGGTATGCCGCGATTTGAGTGGACTCCGGTGTGACTGTGCGCTCGAGTGCGAGCGCTTCTTTCTGCCCCACGACGAGTACTGCTTCCCCAATAACGGTATGTGTGAGGGGAGGGGTGATGGTGGCCCAGTAACGGGCCAATAAAGGGTGATGCTTCCCCAATGATGGTATGCCGCGATTTGAGTGGACTCCGGTGTGACTGTGCGCTCGAGTGCGAGCGCTTCTTTCTGCCCCACGACGAGTACTGCTTCCCCAATAACGGTATGTGTGAGGGGAGGGGTGATGGTGGCCCAGTAACGGGCCAATAAAGGGTGATGCTTCCCCAATGATGGTATGCCGCGATTTGAGTGGACTCCGGTGTGACTGTGCGCTCGAGTGCGAGCGCTTCTTTCTGCCCCACGACGAGTACTGCTTCCCCAATAACGGTATGTGTGAGGGGAGGGGTGATGGTGGCCCAGTAACGGGCCAATAAAGGGTGATGCTTCCCCAATGATGGTATGCCGCGATTTGAGTGGACTCCGGTGTGACTGTGCGCTCGAGTGCGAGCGCTTCTTTCTGCCCCACGACGAGTACTGCTTCCCCAATAACGGTATGTGTGAGGGGAGGGGTGATGGTGGCCCAGTAACGGGCCAATAAAGGGTGATGCTTCCCCAATGATGGTATGCCGCGATTTGAGTGGACTCCGGTGTGACTGTGCGCTCGAGTGCGAGCGCTTCTTTCTGCCCCACGACGAGTACTGCTTCCCCAATAACGGTATGTGTGAGGGGAGGGGTGATGGTGGCCCAGTAACGGGCCAATAAAGGGTGATGCTTCCCCAATGATGGTATGCCGCGATTTGAGTGGACTCCGGTGTGACTGTGCGCTCGAGTGCGAGCGCTTCTTTCTGCCCCACGACGAGTACTGCTTCCCCAATAACGGTATGTGTGAGGGGAGGGGTGATGGTGGCCCAGTAACGGGCCAATAAAGGGTGATGCTTCCCCAATGATGGTATGCCGCGATTTGAGTGGACTCCGGTGTGACTGTGCGCTCGAGTGCGAGCGCTTCTTTCTGCCCCACGACGAGTACTGCTTCCCCAATAACGGTATGTGTGAGGGGAGGGGTGATGGTGGCCCAGTAACGGGCCAATAAAGGGTGATGCTTCCCCAATGATGGTATGCCGCGATTTGAGTGGACTCCGGTGTGACTGTGCGCTCGATTGCGAGCGCTTCTTTCTGCCCCACGACGAGTACTGCTTCCCCAATAACGGTATGTGTGAGGGGAGGGGTGATGGTGGCCCAGTAACGGGCCAATAAAGGGTGATGCTTCCCCAATGATGGTATGCCACGATTTGAGTGGACTCCGGTGTGACTGTGCGCTCGATTGCGAGCGCTTCTTTCTGCCCCACGACGAGTACTGCTTCCCCAATAACGGTATGTGTGAGGGGAGGGGTGATGGTGGCCCAGTAACGGGCCAATAAAGGGTGATGCTTCCCCAATGATGGTATGCCGCGATTTGAGTGGACTCCGGTGTGACTGTGCGCTCGATTGCGAGCGCTTCTTTCTGCCCCACGATGAGTACTGCTTCCCCAATAACGGTATGCGTGAGAATTTTCAGTAACCAGCTTGAGAAAACCACAATTGAAGTACACTTAGTCATCGCTACTGCCCCAAGCTTCCCCCTCTTCCTGTGCTCTCCTGCTCCCCTCGCCACAGAATCCCTTTCCATCCCGTCTCCTGTCCTCCCCTAGTTCCTCGTTCCTCGTTCCTCCCCTCTCTCCACAGGCACGTTCTGAAAGGAGCGCACGATTGGAGCCATCATACCGCGCATGCCACTGCCCCAGGAGAATCTCTCGGCTCTCTCCTCTCCACCCTGCAGCCCCAACAGCCCTCTCCTCTTTCCCCCTTCCATCCATCTCTCTCTTTCCATCTCCAGGGACCCTTTGGAAGGAGCGAACTATCGGAGCCATCATAACACGCATGCCGCTGCGCCTGCAGACTCTCCCAGCTCTCTCCACCCTGCATTCCCCGACACCCTTCCCCTCGTGCCCCGCCCTCCATCCCTCTCCCTCGCTCTGTCCCCATCTCCAGGGACCCTTTGGAAGGAGCGAACTATCGGAGCCATCATAACGCGCATGCCGCTGCGCCTGCAGACGGACGGCAATGGCACTGAAACCGGGCCCCGAGAACCCTTCAGTATAAGCACACCCACCAACACCCATACCGGCAGCAGCAGCAGCAACGGCGCTTCCAGCAACCAGGGATCATCAAAAGCATCACAGGCAGCAGCTGCTGCAGTAGCTGCAGCGGCGGTTACAGCGTCGCCGCTGCTGTTCCCCTCCACGCCCCTCCCGCCGCACCCCTTCCCGTGGCTCGTGCCCCTTAACAACTGCCCCAACTACTGCTCCGGTCGCGGCCTCTGTGACGCCACGTACTGGGAGTGCAGGTACGAGAGGATGAGGGTGGATGGAGGGAGTTGGGACACTGGCAGTGCGTGTGTGAGGACGAGAGCATTCAGTTTCATGCCTGATCTCACTTACCCTTGTGTGCCACACCCCTCAACACCCTTCAACACCCCTCCACACCTATGATGGATTATACGCTTTGGACCTTAAGCGTTTAGCGTTTGTACGCTAGCGTGTACACGCTAAACGCGAAACGCTAGCGAAAACGCTATACGCGAAGTTTTTTCTGGGCAGCCCGCCGACCCAAACATTTTCGAATAGCTCAAACGATGCGGAATTGCACGACGAGCAATTCTGCGAAGTCAGATTGCACGTCCGCGGTCTGTGCTGGCAGGAAAGTGGCTTTATGTCCTGGTGTCGCGTTTGCCTAGTCTACTAAACTAGGTAAGAAATCGAGCGCGGTAGGTAAGTCTGTCGAGATGTCGGGGGGTTGGATTGAGAGGAGTAGTTGTGAGTTGCGTCTAGCTGTTTTGCGAAAACAATTCGCCAACATTTTGACTCGATCGCAGGTGATTCGCCAGCAAGGCACGACAAATTTCACCCACTCGCCAATTTCGCGAACGGTGGAAATTGTGGTGGTTGGGTACAAATGTGTTCTCAGATCTGTACCCAACCATTTCCCGCAATTTCTTTGTTAGGGTTACGGGACAAGATTCCCGCATGGTCGACGAGTATGAAAATGCTCACCGAGTTTTGTTTTGCCCTGCCCGGGAAACTTTTTTTCCTGCCCAGAAAAGCGTATCCTCGATCAGACCCCTCCAGCGTATAGCGTGCAAACACTAGCGTATATACGACACGCGTATATACGCTATAAGCGTATAATCCATCATAGCTCCACACCCCTTCCCCAGGTGCCCCTGGTACCACGACACGACGGCAGTGCATGTGAGGATGAGAGCTTCTCAGTGGCGTGCCTCAACTCACTTGCTTACACATGTGGTCACATCCCCCCACACCCCTTCACACTCCTCCACAACCCTCCATACCCCCCGAAACCCCTCCACACCCCTTCCCCAGGTGCCCCTGGTACCACGATGGCAGTGCATGTGAGGACGAGAGCTTCTCAGTGGCGTGTCTCAACGACTGCTCGCAGCGGGGCGACTGTGAGGGCGGCGTGTGTCAGTGCCAGGCAGGCTTCTTTGGTGCCGACTGCTCGCTCTACTACAATGAGGAGCTGCGCCTGAGGTGCGAGGGAGGGGAGGGGTGAACAGAGAGTTGGTTGCGTCTTATGTGTGTGCTAGTCGGTACTGTCTGTGTGCCAGTGCCAGGCGGGTTTCTTTGGTGCTGACTGCTCGCTCTACTATAATGAGGAGCTGCGCCTGAGGTGGGTGGGGTGAGAGGGGCCGAGCCTGAGATCGAAGGGGGTTGCAGTTTCTGTGTGCTGTGCTGTCTGAACGAGGGGTACACCAGATCGTCTCAGTTGTTTGCTACGGAGCTTTTCCCTATGGCCCGACCTACCCGCACCCACGCATCTCCCCCGTCCTCTTCCTTCCCAACTCCCCACCCACCAATCAGGAGGCTCCCCGGGTCACCCTTTCCCTGGGCCGACCTACCAGAGAGTGACACGTTCGCAGTAACACCAGCAGCATCAGCATCCGCAGAAATCCAGCCGCCAGTCTCTCGCAGCCCACAGCCACAGCCAGCTCAAGAGCAGCAGCAGCAGCAGCAGCAGCAAAGTGATGCAGGAACAACAGGGGCAGCAGCAACAGCAGCAGTAGGAGTAGGAGCAACAGCAATAGCAGGAGGGAAATCAGCAGCAGCAGCAGGAGCAGCGGGGCAGCCCCTGAGGGTGTATGTGTACGAGCTGCCTCCGCAGTTCAACTCATGGCAGATGCAGCACTCGCCCTACATCGACCACCCCGAGGCCCTCTGGTTCTGGGAGCGCCTGCTGGCCAGCCGCCACCGCACCATCGACCCAAGGGAAGCTGATTACTTCTATGTGCCTCTCCTCATCCGGTACGTTCTGCTGGGTGCACTAGCTCTCCAGGTGCTAAGTGCGGTGGCTCCAGGTGCTAGGTGGTGTGCACTGGTACATAGATGCCCTCTGGTTCTGGGAGCGCCTGCTGGCCAGTCGCCACCGCACCATCGACCCGCGGGAAGCTGACTACTTCTATGTGCCTCTTCTCATCCGGTAGGTGTCGTGTGCTGGGTGCACTAGCTCTAGGTGCTACGTGCGATGGCTGGCTCTAGGTGCCCTCTGGTTCTGGGAGCGCCTGCTAGCCAGCTGTCACCCCACCATTGACCCGCGTGAAGCTGACTTCTTCTACGTGCCTCCCCTCATCCGGTACGTGCCATGTGCTGGGTGCACTAGCTTTAAGTGCCAAGTGCGTTGGCTCTAGGTGGTAGGTGGTGTGAACTGGTAGAGGCCCTCTGGCGGACCACATCTTTCACCCTTTTACTCCCTTCTAACCTGCTCTTTCTGTCCGTCCTGTTCCCCTTCCCCTGCCACTGGCCCTGCCCCTCCCCCTCCAGCAACCGAGACAGTGGCAAGCAGCGGCTCATCTCAGAAACCATCGCCTTCATCCGCTCCCTGGGCCCCTTCTGGGACGCCAAGGGCGGGGCAGACCACATCTTCCTGGTCAGTGAGGAGTACGGCAAGTGCGCCCTGCAACCCTAACCCCCTCATTCTTTCCTTCCCCTTCCCCTCCCCCCTCCCCTGCCCCTCCCCCTGCCCCTCTCCCTGCCCCTCCCCCTGCCGCTCCCCTTCCTCCTGCTCCTTCTCCCCTACCCTCAGAAACCGAGACAGTGGCAAGCAACGTCTGATATCAGAAACGATCGCCTTCATCCGCTCCCTGGGCCCCTTCTGGGACGCCAAGGGCGGGGCAGACCACATTTTCCTAGTAAGTGAGGAGTACGGCAAGTGCGCCCTGCAGCTCCACGGGCTGGAGGACCCGCGGCTAGCGTCCGCAATCACCCTCACTCCCTGGGGGTACACTCGCAACATGCTCGGCACCGCAGACGGCGGGCCGTGCTTCCGGCCCGGGCAGGACATAGTGATTCCGCCCTCGGCGCATCTGAGGTTCCTGCAGAATGCGAGTATGGTCAGGGAGGCTGGGGGGCTGCCAGGACTGGTGAGGGAGGGAGGTGCGGATGGGGAGGGAGAGGTGCAGCAACAGGGGCAGGAGCAGGAGGGGCAGCAGCAGCAGCAGCAGCAGGAGGGGAGTGGTGGGCAGGGGCAGGTGGGGAGGGAGCGGCAGTACCTTCTGTTCGTGCGAGGGCTGAATGTGAGTGATGGCAGCAGCGGGTGGGACGAGGAGGCACACCAGCAGGAGCAGGGGGGGCAGCAGCAGGGAGATAAGAGGCAACAGGGAGGCAACAAGGAGCAGGGGGAGCAGCAGCAGCAGCAGCAGCAGCAGCAGCAGGGAGAGAAGAGGCAGCAGGGGGAGCCACCGTTCAGCTTTGGCGTGCGGCAGCGGGTGTTTGAGCTGTACGCGGGGCGGGACGAGGAGACGGGCTTTAAGGTGGAGGTGGTACCGGAGGGCGGCGAGGAGCTGGCGTACGGCGGCATGGAGCAGAGCGTGTTCTGCCTCGCCACTGCAGGCCACGTCTGGCATGCGTCACTGGCAATGGCTGTTATCGCAGGCTGTGTGCCCATCGTCATTCAGGTGGGTCTCTCTCACTCTATCTGTGGTTGGGAGCTAGCGGCGGCATGGAGCAGAGCGTGTTCTGCCTCGCCACTGCAGGCCACGGCTGGCATGCGTCGCTCGCCATGGCTGTCATTGCAGGCTGTGTGCCCGTCGTCATTCAGGTGGGTCCCTCCCTCAGCGAGCATTGAAGAGCACCTATGAGAGAGAGTGTGTGTGCTGTGCCGTGCCTTGCCACGGTACGGCGGCATGGAGCAGAGCGTCTTCTGCCTCGCCACAGGGGCCATGGCTGGCATGCATTGCCCACAATGCCTGTGATTGCAGGATGTGTGCCAGTTGTCATTCAGGTGGGTCCCTCGGTGGTTGGGAGCGAGCCTTGAAAAGCACCTTTGAGAGTGTGTTAGGCCTCCTTTTGAGGCGGCTCAAAAGTGCTCCCTGATTGTCAGCGAGCATTGAAGAGCACCTATGAGAGAGTGTGTGCGCTGTGCCTTGCCTTGCCACGGTACGGCGGCATGGAGCAGAGCGTCGTCTGCCTCGCCACTGCTGGCCACGGCTGGCATGCATCGCTCACCTGGCTGTCATTGCGGGCTGCGTGCCAGCTGTCATCCAGGTGAGGCTCCGGTGTCATTCAGGTGGGTCTTAGTTGTCTTTCCGGTGGATCTCTGTTGGAATTCAGCACCTGTCCTTGTTGTTCAGGTGGGCCGCAGGTGTCGGTCTCATTCGTGGAGTGGAACAAGGCCTTCATATTTTTTCTTCTTCGTCCTCCTTTTTGTTTGTGTGTGTGTGTGTATGTTGGCCAACCACCCTTCCATCTCAACAGCCGGATGTGCTGCTTCCTTTCGAAGGAGACGGAGTGGACTGGAGTCTCGTCTCGTACCGCCTCAACATCCGCGACATCCCCCAGCTGCACGAGCGGCTGCAGGCAATCCCGCCAGAAGACATCGAACTCAAGCAGAAGCGCCTGCGACAGCTATGGCCTCTGTTCATCTGGTCAGCTCCGCAGTTCAATCCGGTGGACTTTCTGCCCGAAGGTGCTCAGATGAAGGTGACGAGATTGCTTGCGCAGTATGATGCGTTCAGTGCTGTGATGTTTGCTTTGGCTAGACGCGTCGGGAAAACGGGAGAGAGGGACTCGCTGTTGGACTGGTACAGGGATGGGGAAATAGGAAAGTTGCAACATATGAGCTGAAGTTAACACATGTATGTAATAATCATGTGGTTGAGTAGTTTTCTAATTGTAGAAAGTATTATATTTCTATTTGTACTGCTTTCCTCTGCTGTTTCTTCACAACCTCAATGTCGGGTCAGTTGACACAGCAATGGAAGTATCCTGGGGCTCTGTTTCCTTACGTGGCTTTACACGTGGCGCAATCTCGGTCGCCAAGGAGATGTTCTACCGTCCAGCGCATTCGAAATGACCTCACCTCACAGCGAACCTGGCGATGGATTCTTCCATAAGCTCAGCACCTGATTGGCCAGAACACTTCGGAAATGCCCTCGGCGTTCCCCTCCATTTCCTGTAACCATCTCAAACCCCCTTTGACCGTCTCCAACAGTGTTAGGAATTGCTTCACCGCTTTCAGCCAAAACTAACTATGGGAAACTCAACTCCGAATTTGCTTTAGTATCCGCACTTTTCGTTAGCTTGTCCTGATATTAGCAGTCCATTTCTGCTTCCCAGCTCGCTGGGATCGTGTTTTCTCATCTCCCGAGTATCCGAAATTTCTCTCCCTCTTTTCCAGAGTTTGCGCAACTGCGCGTTCTTCCAGAAATGGCCGGCCTACTTTCCTCATCCATGCAGGGAGCTCTCCTGAAGCTGCCTGCAGCAGCTCCCATTTCCGCTCCCCCATCTCGCACGCTCACCGCCGTAGTGGCTCACACCGGCGCATTTCCCTCGAGGAGACAGACGGCAGCCAGCAGAAGACCGATGTCGACGCTGCTGCGCGCCTCGGAGCTGACGGCGATCGACACCTTTACGTCGGAACTGGAAGAGCTGGAGGGAATGGTCGACGGAGAGTACGAGGAGGTACCAGTGCACACGGTGACGGTGCACGACCGGGAACGAGGAGTCACGTACACGGTCGACGTGCCTCAGGTAAGACTCGATGACGCGTGGAAGGATATGAGGATGGATCGATGGAAAACGAGGCAAACCACTGCTTGCGCCATCCACTGGATGTTTTAAACTGGAGACATAGAGCGAACTAACGGGAATCTTCATCCCATTGCTTTCAACGCCGGAATGTGAAAGTGCTTGTTTGCCGGCGTGTGCCAGTGGTCAAAGGCAACGATAATATTCGCTTATCTGTGTATCCGTATCAATCTCAGTTATCTGAACATCAGATGTTCAGCCAGCTCACGCGTGCCGTACAAAACTAGTCGATACGTGGCTTTAGAAATGTATCCGTTAAAGCTCAAGGCCCAAATTGTTCAGGATTACTAAAGTTGACCCTTGGGTGGTGGGAAAGCTGAGTAGGAAAGTCGAGGTGTTTGAGGGGTGTAGGGGTTTGGTTTCGCCCAGCTTCTCGCCACACTCAAAACAAAATTCGCTGACTCAGCAAAGCCTAGGGGACGCTCAGGTTTGGTTGCGCGAGTCCCATATTGCACAAATATTACTCTTGCCAGTTTCCCGCACCACCTGTTCCATTCGCTGACTCAAATGTTCTGGCCAATCAGATGGCTTCGTACATTTCGTAACCACAATTCGCCCAGCTAAAGCTGCAAAGCAGCACTCGATCAACCTTACTAAACTTGCCTCGCGCGGCCTGCAATTTGGGCCTTGAGCTTTAAGCTGTTTCTTGGGGCCAACAGTGGAATCGATTCTGATGTTATACGCACTGCTTCAAGCCTCTGTATGCTGCCTGTGCTGCTTGACTCTTAGGTTTCACTTTCGCTCTCACTTAAAGAACTGCCTCACCTTTGTTGGTCCCGTTGATACCTTTCTTTATGATCTCAGGACCAATACATTCTTCAAACCGCGGAGGAGGAAGGCATCAAGCTGCCATTTGCATGCCGGCACGGCTGCTGCACAGCCTGTGCCGTCCGGGTTATTTCAGGCGAGCTGGTTCAACCACGTGCGCTTGGCATTTCACAAGAGCTCAAGGAGAAGGGTTATGCACTGCTGTGTGTGGGGATTCCCCTTTCTGACCTTGAGGTGGAGACACAGGACGAGGATGAAGTGTACTGGCAGCAGTTCGGCAAGTACTTTGCACGAGGTCCAATCGAGCGTGATGATTATGCTCTGGAGCTTGCAATGCAAGACGAGTAATGGATTGGATTTGCAAGGCGGAGAACTTCCCTGATGTTTCTCAACCAATCTGTTTTCTCGTCCTCTGGTTTAGCACAATAAGATTTGCTTTACCCCTTGTCACAGCTGGGGCCATGTGATCAAGACATGGATCATCCTGGTGGACGTGCAAACAAGGTCGCCTGCCTGGGAATTTCCGTCAACAGAAAACAGTTTTGTTGGTGTCTTGAAGAGCTCCCTTTATGTACCCTCAAACAGAAGAGATTGATCACTTGGTTCTGATTCCAGTATCTCATTTGTCCAGAAATTATAAAAGGAACCCATAAGGTGTAATACCGTAAGTGAAGCTTTTGCACCGGTTCGGTACAAGAGTCGTCGTAATAACGTATTGCTCCCGCCCATTCTTCATTCCTAGCAACATGTCGGACCATGGTGAATTCGGCATGGCCCTGCCGTCCCATTCCATAGCAAACCACACACTACTGCTGCCACGACAAGCTCATATCATCATGATTCATCATAATGCAGGCGTTCTTGTGCGCGATGCCCACACTATCACATCTAGTATTGGCTCGTCACACGCACTGGGCATTTCTGAGAGTTTCCATTTCCTTTATCACAACCTCCCATCCCATCTCTCTCCTTATCGTTCCATGGCAGCGTTCCTCGCAAGAGCTCCGATTTTTTTCCCCACAGAAGTGAAGACGAAGGGGAGGGAACATTATCTCCTCTCCTGCACCGTTCGAAAGCACCAGCATCATGCAGCTAGTAGGAGTTGCTCTTCGTTGTAATCATCTGACCTACAGCAATATCCTCGTTATAAGCCCAACAGCTACCCATCGCCCCTTCACCTTCCCCTCGAAACCATCCATAACAGATTCATCCTGTTCTTTATATCTCCGCTTTCCAAAAAACAGTCGCACAACGCGACATTTCAGGCGACAATCATGCGACGGCAAGCGACTGTCGGGAAACCTCCTGCGACAAGCTGACGACGTCAGGCCGCATTCGCGAGCAGATCGACGATTCGCTCTAGATAGCCAACGCGTATTCTCTGCTCCTAGGCGTTCCTGCTGTCTCCCTGGAGCCATTCCGACTTCCGCTGCTTCTTTTGCAGACACAGACGCGGATTCGAAGGAAGGTTCGTCCCAAGGAGAGTTCGCGGAAAGACCCCTCTTGAGAGATGCGATTATTGTGGGCGGCGGAATTGCCGGTCTGACGGCAGCCATTGCTCTTCGCCGGCAGGGAGTTGACGTCCAGGTGGGTGTCTTACTGCCAGTCAGGCAATTTTTTTCACTGCGAGGCGATTTGACGGCCCTGCGAATCTGGCGGCAAGGCAATGAGGTGACGAAGAGCTTCCCCCCTCACCTGGTGCCTTTTAGCTTCGCTCCCCGCGCCAGCTCGTTGTTCCCCGCGCCAGGTGCACTGCTATGTCTAAGATTCCAGTGCTCCCGCACACGGGAGATGTACAGAGGTTGTTCTTAAAGGTCTAAAACTCCATGTTCCCCTTCGTGGCAGGTGTACGAGAGGGCGGCGGGGCGTGACCCTGAGAGGGTGGGGCGCATTGTGGGGATTCAGCCCAACGGGCTGGCAGCGCTGAGATGCATCGACCCCGCCATCGCTGATGCTGTAAGAGAGAGAGATATGAGCTTTGGAACCGTCTTCAAAAGCGCGTCCTGGGGTCTGGGTTTTGAGTCGACTCACAAGGCGCATTGTGGGGATTCAGGCCAACGGGCTGGCAGCGCTGAGATGCATCGATCCAGCCATTTCCGATGCTGTAAGAGAGGACTCGGGGATTGATGCTGTATAAATAATGTTAAGACCTGTTATACGACTCAGGGGACAATGCTGTAGATAGCATGAGGCCCGATATAAGACTTCAGAAGTTCAGTATAAGACTTTTAAAGGCTGAGATGTTGTAAGCTGACGCGATAGTTAAGAGTGGGAATTTTGTAACATGTGAAGGTCAAGAATCTTTCAGTTCTCATCCCTTCCCTTCCCTTCCCATCCATGCCCCCATGAATCATTGCGCCATACCACCACTGTATCTCATCTTAACCATACTGTACCGCACTCAATCATGGACATCTTTTCATTCCTCATCATCCTGTCGTGCATTATCCTTCCATGCCTGCTTCTGTCCTGCTCTCTCCAGTGTCCCCCTCTCCTGCCCATCTCTCCCTCCCCTCAGCTGTCATCTGGAGAGGCGCATATACTCAGCCTAAGTATGAGTCGCTTTTGAGAATTCCCAAACGCATCTTGAGAGGCGCGTTTGTGCGCAGCCTCGCCCCATCTGGCCACCAAGTAAACTCACCATCAGGTATCAACAACCACCCACTTTCCTTCTCATCTCCCTCCCTCCCCTCCCCGCCCTCCATCCCTGCAGCTCCCCTCGCAAGGCGCGCATGTGCCGAGCCTGTGCCTGCTCAGCACATCGGCCCACCCCCAAGGGGCCTTCTCAGGCAACTCGCTTAACCCTCCCCCCGACCTCTCCTTCCGCCTCTCTCTGCCCCCCTCCCCCACTGCAGCTCCCCTCGCAAGACGCGCATGTGCCCAGCCTGTGCCAGCTCGCCCCATCAGGCGAGGTGCTTCTGGAGGCCACAGCGCTTCTCATCTCGACCCCCACCCCACCCCACCCCCCCACCACAGCTCCCCTCTCAGGGCGCGCATGTGCCCAGCCTGTGCCAGCTCGCCCCATCTGGCGAAGTGCTTCTGGAGGCCACAGCGCCGGCTGACGGGCGCCTCTCCATCCGCTGGGGGCTCGCTCTCGAGGTGCTGCAGAGCTTCCTGCCTGCATCAATCGTGCACCAGGGCTGCGAGTTCACAGGGCAGATTCAGCAGGTACTTTGCATTCTGACTCTACTCTCACAGCGCCGGCTGACGGGCGCCTCTCCATCCGCTGGGGGCTCGCTCTCGAGGTGCTGCAGAACTTCCTGCCTGCATCAATCGTGCAGCAAGGCTGCGAGTTCACGGGGCACGTGGAGCAGGCGAGCTTTCGATCTAGTCTGAAGGCACCTCTTGGATCAATGCCTCTCTCCATCCGCTGGGGGCTCGGCCTCGAGGTGCCCCAGGGCTTCCTGCCTCACTCCTGTGTGCACCGAGGCTGCGAGTTCAGCAGGCACGTGGAGCAGGCGGGTGTTCTCAGTCGCGTGGAGAATGCCGCAGGTGCTTCTTCTGAGTGCCCTGCCAGAGAGCTTAGTGCCCCAAGGGTTAACTCTGCATAGTGTCGCCTGGAGAATGCCGCAGGTGCTTAATGCCTGACAGGCTGCCCTCGTCTTCCTCTCCCTCTCCCTCGCCCCTCACTCGTCCTCTCATTCACCCCTCTCTGTTACTCCTTCTCGTCCCACCCTCTTCGTCTCCCTTGCCTGTCCTCCCTCCTCTCGTTCGCCCTTTTCTCTGGTTTTTTTGCCTGGTGCGTTCCCCATCCCCATGTTCTCTTACTCACGCTGGCAGGCCAATGGACGTGTGACAGCCCACTTCACTCGCCACGGCCAGCCATTCACTGCAGAGGTGAGCACGGCTGCACGGGCTTTGAGGTTGCATGTGAATTTTGTTAATTTCCAAAATTCACCTGCAGCAACACTGCCAGCCGTTCACTGCAGAGGTGAGCACCAGGCTGCACGAGCTTCGCGAATTGAGACGATGTTTTAGGCGTCTGTAAATCCACCCAGCACAGGCAGCTGTTCAGTGCAGAGGTGAGCACAGGGCACGTGATACGAGAGGCACGGATACGAGAGAGACGTTACATGAGCAGCACGTTACATGAGTGGATTTGCTGGTGGGCACGTACAGGCTGCCAGTGACTGCCTAAACCCACTTGTTTGGCATAGTGACTGTGATGTGGTGTGAACTCAACAGTCTACCTTCCTGCCTCGCTGTGGTTCGTGTATCAGGCAGATCTTCTGATCGGCACGGACGGGGTGCGGTCGGTGGTGAGGCAGCATGTGTTGAGGGAGGGCGAGGAGAGGGACAGGTGGGGGCCGCCCCGGGATAACGGCCGCATTATGTGGCTCGGCGCTGCTCCCCGGGAGACTATAAGCTTCGAGGTGCGTTTGTGAGCAAGTTCAGGGAAAAAACAAACAAACAAACAAACAAACAAACAAACAAACAAACAAACAAACAAACAAACAAACAAACAAACAAACAAGCAAGCAAACTTAAACCCAAAAAAAAACAGACAAACATCCTTCCAGAGTAGACAGAAAAAAAAAAAAAAAAAACTCATCTTCATTCTCTTGGATGTGCTAATCCAGTTCCGCTCAGCTCCAACCAACCTCAACCTATCCAGTGGTACTTTTGATTGATAACCTCCGGACAAAAAAAAATCCCAGTGTGAATAGGTTTAGGCACACAGGATGTCCAAACTTTGCCTGGTGTCCCAACTTCAATTCAAAACGCCAACTAACATGGTTGGTGCTCCTAACCACCCTCCCTCCCTCCATCCCTCGCCTTCCCCTTTCAGCACTCCCGCCCCTACCGCACGTGCTTCACCAGGGGCGGCGGGAGGACGGCCGCAGTGGGGGACCTTGGTGGGGCGGAGATTTTCGTCCTGTTTGTGTGTGCGGACGAGCAGGGGAGGGGGATGACAGAGCAGCGGTCAGGGGATGGGGAGGAGGTGCGGGGGAAGCTGAGGGCGCTCTTTGCTGATTGGCCTGCATACGGGGGAGTGATTGAGGTGGGTGGGCGGGCGGGTGGGCGGGCGGGTGGACGGGTGCTTCGTTTTTTGCCAAACATATGGAAGGAGGTGGATGAAACAAGGAATGAATCCTTGTTTTTCTAGCACAAGGTTCTGAACGTCCCTCAGCTTCCCGGGTGGCTTTTGCCGCGCCTCAGACGAAACCCTTCCCCAACCCCTCCCTCCCCCTGCAACCAGGCTGTCCCCCCCGACCTGTTTTTGGAGCGCCGAGTACTGGACGTGCCTCCTCTCCCCCGCTGGCGCAACGGCCGCATCCTCGTCATCGGAGGTGCTCTCTCTCGCTTGCTGCTCCCCAACCTCCTTCCCGCCTCTTGCCCTCGTGCCCTCTTGCCCTCTTGCCCTCGTGCCCTCTTGCCCACTTGCCCTCGTGCCCTCGTGCCCTCTTGCCCCATGGCTCCTTCAAAACTTCTTGTATGCCCTGCCTGCTCTCACTTGCCCTGCTCTCACGTGCCCTGCTCTCACGTGCCCGGCTCTAATGAAGTTCTTGCTGCCTGCAATCAAAGTGCCGTAGATGGTTTGTCGCAGCCTGTGTGGCCCATGGACTATGAGCTTTTCAGTATCTGCTTCTCAGTCCGTATAATCAAATAATTATCTCCCTTTCCGATCATTGTCTGCAGCCTCGGGGAAAGAGGTACCATTCAAATCCACCCACCCACCTCTCCCACATGCCGTCCCCATCACGCCATCATCTGCATCTTCTCATCATGCCGACCAGATGCAGCGCATGCAGTGCCGCCCACATTTCCGCCCCATATTCCCTCCATCTTTCTCGCATGCTCCCATCATCACCATCTTCCCCATCATGCCGACCAGATGCAGCGCATGCAGTGCCGCCCACATTTCCACCCCATATTCCCTCCATCTTTCTCGCATGCTCCCATCATCACCATCTTCCCCATCATGCCGACCAGATGCAGCGCATGCAGTGCCGCCCACATTTCCACCCCATATTCCCTCCATCTTTCTCGCATGCTCCCATCATCACCATCTTCCCCATCATGCCGACCAGATGCAGCGCATGCAGTGCCGCCCACATTTCCACCCCATATTCCCTCCATCTTTCTCGCATGCTCCCATCATCACCATCTTCCCCATCATGCCGACCAGATGCAGCGCATGCAGTGCCGCCCACATTTCCACCCCATATTCCCTCCATCTTTCTCGCATGCTCCCATCATCACCATCTTCCCCATCATGCCGACCAGATGCAGCGCATGCAGTGCCGCCCACATTTCCACCCCATATTCCCTCCATCTTTCTCGCATGCTCCCATCATCACCATCTTCCCCATCATGCCGACCAGATGCAGCGCATGCAGTGCCGCCCACATTTCCACCCCATATTCCCTCCATCTTTCTCGCATGCTCCCATCATCACCATCTTCCCCATCATGCCGACCAGATGCAGCGCATGCAGTGCCGCCCACATTTCCACCCCATATTCCCTCCATCTTTCTCGCATGCTCCCATCATCACCATCTTCCCCATCATGCCGACCAGATGCAGCGCATGCAGTGCCGCCCACATTTCCACCCCATATTCCCTCCATCTTTCTCGCATGCTCCCATCATCACCATCTTCCCCATCATGCCGACCAGATGCAGCGCATGCAGTGCCGCCCACATTTCCACCCCATATTCCCTCCATCTTTCTCGCATGCTCCCATCATCACCATCTTCCCCATCATGCCGACCAGATGCAGCGCATGCAGTGCCGCCCACATTTCCACCCCATATTCCCTCCATCTTTCTCGCATGCTCCCATCATCACCATCTTCCCCATCATGCCGACCAGATGCAGCGCATGCAGTGCCGCCCACATTTCCACCCCATATTCCCTCCATCTTTCTCGCATGCTCCCATCATCACCATCTTCCCCATCATGCCATCCTTTGACGCAGTGGGGCACCCTCTAGGGTTCGATTCTTGGCTAGAGGGGCTGCACCTGTACCTCCATAGTGTAACTAGCCACGACGTCTCCCTGTTCGAGCACACGTCGGGGGGTCCCTTCCGGCCCCCGAGGCTCCTCCTGAGCCTGCTGCTGACGCTGGGGAGGAGGTGCGGACGCAGTTCCGCGCAGCTCACCTTGCCTACAAGCGGTGGATGGCGCGAGACGCCGCCGCCACACTTGCAGTCCGCCTTCACCTCTCATTCGACCAGAGAGCCAACTTTCGCCAGGTGCCGTCGGCCCATGCTATGTATTCTGCTGTGGTTAGACGCTACTCCCCCCCCCTCTTGCCACCTTAGGCTGTCTTGCGCTGCCTCTTACCTTCCCTGCGCTGTCAGACTTCGCCTCTGTAGCTGATGAGGGTGGTGGTAGTGGAGCTGGCGAGAGTGGCGGGGGCGGGCAGCAGCAGTTAGAGTCTTCGTGTATCGCTGTTTCTGCGCCTACTAGCACAGGTGCGGTTCCTGCGGAGGCGTTGCTCTCGGTCCCTGTCTCGCTGGCCGACCCCACCTCTGGTCTAGTCTATGCGCACCCCTCCACTGTTCTCTCGTGCCTCGTAGTCCCCTCTGACGCCTCTGGCTCGACTGAGGGGGGTGACATTGCTGCTGCCGACACAGCGACCTCTCGCCACTCGCCGAGCTTGGAGACACCTCCGGGTTTTCCGCCTCCGCCGTCTTCGCCTCCTCTGCAGCCTGTCGTTGTAGACTTCGGGGGCCCACGTGTTGTTGGGGGTGGTGGCTCTAGGGGTGCTGGTTCTGGGGGTGCTGTTTCTGGGGCTGCTGACTCTGGGAGTAATAGGAGCCCTCTTGTTGGTGGACTTGGAGGTACTGGTACTGGAGGTGCTGGGTCTGGGGGTGCGTTGCAGTCGCTGCCGCGGCGGCCTATCTTCTTGGAGCAGCCGTCGTCGTCGCTACCTGAGCCGACGTGTCAAACATTATATGTTTATATTGTCTAGGCTATAGTGGGTTTAGCCATAGGGGGTACATCAAACTTAGGGTTTCCTACTTGTACCCAACATTCTGTTAGTTCATTCATTCTCGTTCGTTCTTAGTTTCTAACATGGTATCGCGAGCCTAGGTCGTAACCTAGGACCGAATAATATGGGCCCACCGTTTCCGCTTAGTCGCGCCCTAGCGCGCCTCGCCTAGTCGCGCCCTCGAGCGCCTCACTCTTTCCCTCACTATCGCGCGCCCTAGCGCGCCTCTCGCGATCGGCCCCACCTAGCCCGCACGCCCTAGCGTGCCCCGTGCGATCGGCCCCGCTCACCTCGTACGCCCTCGCGTGCGACCCGCGCAGCACCACGCGCGTCACCTGCCCCGCGCGCCCTTGCGTGCCCCGTTCGGCCCCGCGCACTCGCTGCCCCGCGCGCCCTTACGTGCCTCTTACGGACCGGCCCCGCCCCTTAGCGTGCGCCCTTGCGTGCCCCGTGCGACCGGCCCACACCCACCCGCGCGCCCTTGCGTGCCCCTCGCGTACCGGCCCCGCCCTCGCTAGCCCGCCACCTCGTGCCCCGTGCGACCGGCCCACACCCACCCGCGCGCCCTTGCGTGCCCCTCGTGTACCGGCCCCGCCCTCGCTAGCGCGCCACTTCGTGCCCCGTGCGGACCGGCCCCGCTCTGCCCTGCACGCCCTCGCGTGCCCCACCTCGAGTAGCCGCCGCCTAGCCGAGCCGAGCCGCCCCACCGAACCGTGTCACCCGGCCCGAACCGCGCCGCCCTACCGAGCCGCGCCGCCCTACCGAGCCGCGCCACTGCAACTGTCACTGCTACTACTGCTACTGCTCTTACTGCAACTATGGCTAGCCCTGCTGTGCTCGCTTTCGATGCTGAGGGCCGCCCGCTGAAGTTTGACACCTGGCTAGATGACTTGCACCTGTTCCTCCAGCTCACTGCCAAGGAGGATATCTCGCTGTACGATCACGCACTAGGCCACGCTGCTGCCCCTGCTGCTACTGCTGACAGTACTGCCTGTTCACAGTGGCAGACTCGTGACGCCCACGCTCGCTTTGCTATTCGCAACTCCCTGCCGGTAGATGAGCGCGAGCACTTTGGCCAGCACAAAACTGCGCAGGCACTGTACACTGCTGTAGTTGCACGCTACTCCTCACCTGCCTCTGCTACGCTAGGCCGTCTCTCGCTCCCCTACCTGTTCCCAGACCTGTCCGCTTTCGCCACAGTCGCTGACCTCATCACGCACCTCCGCACTAGTGAGGCCCGCTTCCGTGCCGCTATGCCCGCTGAGTTTCTTGCCACGCACCCCCCCCCCACTCTGGCTTACTCTCTACCACCTAGTCACCCGTCTCCCTGACTCTCTTCGTGCAGTCAGGGACCACTTCCTCGCTCGCTGCCCCACTGAGCTCACCGTTGACCTACTCGAGAAGGAACTGCTTGCAGCTGAGACTAGCATAGTCGCTGTAGCTGCCTCTCGTGGCGACCCCCGCACCCCGTACTTCGAGGGGTGTTCCCCTTCCCCCCTTCTCCCCTATGTCGCCTCTGCTGCTGCTGTCGACCTAGTTGGTACTGAGCAGGTCGGGACTGCGTCCGCTCCGAGCTGGCGCCGCAGCGGCAAGGGCAAAGGGGGCAAGGGAGGTGGAGGTGACGGAGGGGGAGGCGGTAGTGGGGGCGGTGGCGGCGGTGGGGGCGGTGGCGGGGCTGGAGGGGCTAGTGGCAGCGGTGGAGGTGGTGGCGGCAGCGGCGGAGGAGGTGGCCGGGGTGGGGGCGGTGGTGGGGGCGGCGGTGGACGCGGCGGCGGCAGGGGCGGTGGTGGTCGAGGTGGTGGCGGCGGAGGTGGTGGTCGTGGTGGCGCTGGCGGACAGCTGACTCCGTCGCCCCAGGAGCTTCGTGAGTGGTACTCTCAGCACGGGGGGGGGGGGGTGGCCTTAGCTGCACGTACGTCATCCGCACTGGTGACCGCACTGGCCAGACGTGTGGGAGGGCGCACACCGCGCAGCGCTGCTTCTCCCGCCTCGACGACGCTTGGCGCACTCAGTTCCCTGCTGCCACTGAGCTGCCCCGCTGGGCTGATCTGATGAGGAAGAACATTGATATCTATGCTCTTGACTTTGATGCTATTCTCACTGCCATGTATGTGTTGTCTACTAGTGGAGAGGGTGCTCAGTACCTGCGTGTTCCGCCCGACCCGGGCATTCGGACCAGTGAGGCTGCCGCTCTAGGTGCTAGTGCGTCTGTTGCCCTAGGTGCTGGTGAGGCTGCCGCTCCAGGTACTCGCGTGTCTGCTGCCCCAGGTGCTGGTGAGGCTACTGCTCTAGGTGCTAGTGAGTCTGCCCCCCCTGGTACTGAGTCTACTGAGGCACTGCACACCTTCACACTGGACTCAGGTGCTTCTCGCTGTTTCTTTCGTGACCGCACTGCCCTTGAGCAGCTTGCTCGGCCAGTTGCTGTCTCCCTTGCTGACCCCTCTGGGGGTCCGGTCATTGCGACCTCCTCCACTGTCCTTCCTTGTCCTGCGGTTCCGTCAGTCACACTGTCAGGTCTCCACCTCCCCTCGTTCTCTACGAACTTGGTGGCAGGTTGTGCGCTCCACGACGGGGGTGTCCACCAGTTCACCCCTGCCTACGAGCGCGTGACACACTGCACGTGTGCTCGGACGGGCCGTCACCTGGCTACCTTCACTCGGCAGCCGGGGTCGGACCTGTACACACTGACCACTGAGTCCCCTCAGGTAGCTGCGTCTGCGTCTGCTTCAGGTCAGCTGTCTGCCCCCTGCTCGTGTCGCTCTCTAGCACACGAGACCGTCCTCTGGCACCACCGCCTTGGTCACCCGTCAGTGCAGCGCCTTCGTGCCATGCACAAACGGTACCTTGTCTCTGGTCTTCCCCGGGTACTCCCTCCCCTCCCACCCTCGCCTGCTCCTCCCTGTCTTCCTTGTGTCGAGGGGCGGCAGCGCGCCGCTCCTCACTCCTCCTCGTTTCCCCCGACGACTGCTCCCTTGCAGACGCTCCACATGGACGTGTGGGGCCCAGCCCGCGTCCGTGGACAGGGTCAGGAGAGGTACTTCCTGATCGTTGTTGACGACTACTCGCGCTACACCACGGTCTTCCCCTTGCACACCAAGGGTGAGGTCCCTGATGTTTTGATCCCTTGGATCAGCGCTTCTCGTCTCCAGCTCAGCGAGCGGTTCCACTCGGACTTTCCTGTCCTGCGTCTGCACTCTGACAGAGGTGGTGAGTTCTCCTCCGACCTCTTGGCAGCCTACTGTGCGGAGCACAGCATCCGCCAGTCGTTCACACTTCCGGCCTCTCCACAGCAGAATGGGGTTGCTGAGCGCCGCATTGGCTTGGTCATGGAGGTCGCTCGTACCTCCTTGATCCATGCGGCTGCCCCCCACTTTCTGTGGCCGTTTGCGGTCCGGTACGCTGCGCATCAGCTCAACCTCTGGCCCCGTGTCTCCTTGCCGGAGACCTCGCCCACACTGCTGTGGACGGGGGAGGTTGGCGATGCGTCGCGTTTCCGGGTCTGGGGATCTCGAGCTTTTGTCCGCGATACGTCCGCGGACAAGCTCTCCTCCCGCGCTGTTCCTTGTGTCTTCCTTGGCTTTGTCCCGGACGCGTCTGGTTGGCAGTTTTATCACGCCACCTCGCGCCGTGTCCTGCCCTCTCAGGACGTCACTTTTGACGAGTCGGTGCCCTACTACCGCCTCTTCCCCTACCGCACTGCCCCGCTCCCCCCCCCGCCTCTCTTCCTCGCGCCAGGTGCTGCTGTGGTAGACCCCCTCCCCCCTCAGGGTACCGCTCCCTCAGGTGTGTCCTAGGTAGACCCGGTTGAGCCTGTCGAGGTAGCTGTCGACTCTCGTCCTGCTAGCGGTGCTGAGCCTGAGCGTGCGGAGCCTGGGGGTGCGGAGCCTGGGGGTGCGGAGCCTGGGATTGCGGAGTCTGGGGGTGCTGAGCCTGGGGGTGCGGAGCCTGCGGGTGCTGAGTCTGGGGGTGCTGAGT